TGTTGTACTGCATAGTCCTGATTGCCTTTGAACTCGCTTGAATATGAGTAATTTTAAGAGGTGTTTCATATTCGGCATAGGAAAATTGGGGGGATGTGGGTAGGATGTCCCCAGGGATGGTCCTGAGGCTCAATTGGTTCAGCCTTCAGTCCCCTCCCCTCCACCCCGGGTCGTGACATAATTTTTTTTGTCAGAAGGGGGTGGTGATGTAAGGATGTTTCAGAGCCCCTGCATTAGACAACAGTGATTGTGTGTTGGACCAGCTGGCTAAAATGTGACCAAAACAGGACCCTGGGAGTTTTCCAATAGAGGTTTAGCACTAACACTTGGGTGGGAGAGTGTGCTGCTTTGAAGTTGTAGTAGCTTTCTTCAGAGCTGTAGGCAAGAGGACAGCTTTGCTACTCAAGAAGCTGTCTTATGCAGACAGCTTATTAACTAGTCGCAAGACATTTGATTGAAAGTGCTGGAACCCTTTTAGACTAGATCTGTGCAGTTCTTTTCACAAACTTTGGTTCAACAGGGTAGTTCTGAAGGCTGTAGTTGAGTATGAATGTGTGTCAGAGGTTCTTATTGGAAATGGTCTTGACTGCTTAGTGATGATACTTGGAGCCCTGCATGCTTGCAAGATTTGTATCCACATTTAACTCGCGATCTGCAAAAATGATCCATGACATCCTCATTTGAGTCTCGCATCTATCCCCATACGTATAACTTTAGATCGACACAGAGGTGAATGAGAACTGTGCTCTGGGGAGAACTTTGGAGGAACTGGTAGAGGCTCACACCCCTAATCCCACTAATTTCAAGTTCCTATTTTCCCCGGTCTCTTTCCTCAAGCACAAAATTGTCACTCTTTAGCAGTTTCCCAGATGTCTGACTCAAGGAAGGAGGGGTGTGTTCTCTTATTATACAACAGCCTACAGTCTTCCTACACTTCATTATGCAGCAGAGTAAGGAGAAGACAGACAGACAAAACTGGTGCCAAAATCTAGTCCCCTTGCGTGCCATTTTCAGAAATGTCTTCACTGATCCAGGCTGGAACTGTGCTGAAACTGAATGCATACATGAGGCCAGTGAGAGAGATGCAGCCGTGAGAGTCCGGATTCTTTCTTTGGTCTTCCACAGGAGTATTCGTTAATCAGGACAATTGCTCAGGAAGCAAGGCTACTCAAAATACATGTCACTTTAAAGCATGTCTCCAGCAGCTGATCCACCCTGTAATTAAGAATGCAAAGTGAATGCAGCTCATAATGGTATCATAAGCCTACTGTTTTAAATGGCTGTGTGCACATGCTCTTCCTTTCACAGTCATTAATAATTAGCACTGTTGGTGAGCCTGGCACTTTAACAATCCCAAATATAAGTGGTTATTTCCCAGTGATGCTTGCAAACTTTCAGCCTGTATGATGAGTCATGTTTCAGAGAAAGGAGGAAGGGAGCTGCTCTCGTGACAAAATTATACTCCGGAGAGACAGGAGTTGATGAGAGAAATGCCCACTGTGTACTAGGGGTAGAGTTTGACTTACTCTGTTTGTGACAGCCAGAACTGAATGGGGTTTATGCTGATTTAACTTGTGTTTTGGCTGCTTCATGGCTAGTTTGGAGACTTGTCTGCATCTAGGATTTTGGTCCCTCTTCTTGCTTTGTCATGTCCTCCCTCTAATCTCCCAAGGACAGCAGATACGATCTTCCTCCTAATTGGAAGTGGAGAAATTGCTGTGTTCAGTTCATTAATCTGTCGACCTGACAGTTTATTAAAAGAAAATGGAGCCCATTTTGCTTAGTGTAGCACTTTGAAACCTCAGGTGGCAGAAAGCACTTGAATTTACATTTCTTATAGGGGACCTCACTGGAGATGTATTTGAAATTAGGTTGGCACAGGTCTTCTGTAAAGCTGGTGTGTTGTGCATTGTATGGGGATGGTCACTAACCATTGGCTCAAATGACTACCTAGCACTTCAGTTCCAAATTCAATTCACAGTTTGTTCCTGGCAAGAATTGCTGCTTGCCCTGTGAACTTTAAAAACGCTCTGCTGAGCAAAATGAATGCAGCTCTTTAACACTACGCTCACGACTCCAGGGCTAATGCTCTGGTCTCTGAAGAAACTGCTTTTAAGAGTCCAGGCAATCCATCTTTGGTGTTAAGTTTAAAAGTCCAGTCTGATTTTTCCTGTGTCTAACCCGAGGTGAATGTGAATTAAACTAGCACAAGTATCTTGTGTGCTTGCTTTTCAAACAGGCATGAGACTCCCCTCGCCTGTTTACAAACTTACAATAATTCATCAGCTTCGTTTGTGTCAAGTTTTGAACTTACCTTTCTTTCTGAAATGGCTCCAAGCTGCAACTATGGCTTCAGATTTTCTTTGAGGCAGAGTGAATCAAACTTTTCTGAGAAAATAAATTATTACTGCATTGAAGCTGGACTCCAGTGAGTCAGGAGGAAGAAATCTTTAGAGTGACCCAAGAAATGTTCCTTGTAGGTAAAATCAAATTGATTGGGAGCCCTCCTCCCCCCCCACATGGCACCAGCAGCACAGAAACACACATGGCCCCTGCAGCTGACTGCTTTGAGTGGAGTTGGAAGTGTGGCAGGCAAGAACCCTACCTGAGGGTCCTGCTGGGCTGTTGGCTGAGAGCCTCCTATGGCAAGCGTCTCCCAGCCAGAGCCTGGCACCCCAGCTCCTCCTGCCCCAGGTCACAGCCGACCCCCTCTGCACTCTTCACCCCCTCGCCTCCTGCTTCGTCACAACTCTGCCCCAAGTAACCCGCTGCACCCCCCTCCTGGACCTCTGTCCTTGGTCACAACATCCTCTCAGACTCTGTACCCCTTCCTAAAACCCTCCCTTAGCTCACACTCTACTCCTTCTGCTCCCCAGTATCCTGCCCCAAATCACACACCCCTCCATCCAAATTCCCTCCCAGACCCACACCCTCTCCTGCACTTCATTCTCCTAACCAGAGCTCCCTCCTTGTACCCAATTTCTATTCCAGACCCCACATCCTCTCCATTAATATCATGGAAGAATGCAGCCCTTGATCACTTACCAAATTCTTGGAGTGTCCCCCCCCCCCGATCAAAAATGATTGCCCACCCCTGACCCAGGTGGTCACGTAAGCTCATGCAGTCCTTGCAGTCATCACCCTTGCTATATTTAGATTAAAGCTAGCACAAATCTCAGTACAGGAACTGCAAATTGCACACCCTGGCTGCAATGCAGACATGCCTGATGAATAGTATCATGGCATGAAGATCCAAGCATCTCAGTGAAATACAATGCATAGGCCTTTCCTGTTTGCTTCGCTGTCTCTGAAAACTTGGCTTCCCACGTATTACTAAAACATGTCCAGTTCTGACGTCTGGTTGGTGTTACATAAGTGTCAGGAAATGTATGGCACGGAAATTGGGGTGAGCTGGACATAGAAGATGGCTCCCCTGTAGCCGTGAGTGATGGGAGTCTTGCTGAGCTTCCTGCATGTGAGTAGCAGATGAATGAGGTGTCATCTTGGAGTATTGAGACATGTCATGTAGCCTAGTTTGACACCAGATAGCTCAAGAACTCCCTGAGTCCAAAAAGTTAGCATCAAACCCCAAAACATGTTTTTACTTACAGTTGCTCAGAAAATAAGACCCACCATTGTGATTTGTAGTCTAGTGCATACACAATAGAGTCCCCAGCATATTGGGGTATGCACTTCATTCTAGTATGACAAAAAGCCTCAGGGTTGGTCGACACTAATAAATTAGGTCAGCATAGCTATGTTGTTGAGGGGTCTGAAAAAATCCATCCCGCTGAGCGACGTAGTCAAGCAGCTCTAACTGCCTGTGGAGACAGTACTATGTCGGCAGAAGAATTCTTCAGTAAACTCAGCCACTTCCTCTTGGAGATGGATTACCAGAGCTAACAGGCGAGCCGGCCGCTCCTGTCAGTGTAGCTAGGTCTAGGGTGCTATAGTGTTCTAAATGTAGACAAACCCTTGATAAGTCTCTGTTCTCAATACTGTTTACCGGCCTTGTGTCCTTTAGAGCGACTCAGGTGCTGCCGAGTTACATATAGCTAGAGGCCAGGGATTCTCCTATTAATTATGACCATAAAGTGGGTCACTAGCACTCTTCACTATGAAGCATGGCTGCTGCAAGCCCCTTCTGGCTTTTGCGGACTGAATTCTCCCTTCTAACAAAACTGCGAACTCCAGGTGAGCAAGAAAGGTGATGAGCCTGTCTCAGTGCTTTGTGTTCAGATCACTCTTTGCAACTTGCTGCAGAAGCAGGATTTTTGTTTGATACAGAAAATGTTCCATAAGAATATCCTCTCAGCCCGTCGCCCTGCCCTCCCTTCTCCGGCTGTGTCCTCCTGGGAATTCTAGTACACTAGGTGGAGTGCAAGGTTGCATTGTGTTGCTTTCCTGAGTTTGTGTTGCACTTGGCTGGGTACTGTTGGCTTGTTATGGGGGTAGGGAGTGGAAATCAGACTGGCTTCGTTCTATTGTCTACAGCCATTGAGATGGGCTGATAACTTCAATAGGCTCTGTCTAAATACAGTCATGGAAGTCTGCCATTCTAGTACAGTACAGAAGGTATTTTATTCATGGAGCTTGCTTGTGGCTAGGGCAGTTTCTTTCAGCCATGCTCAAGAGACTGCAATCAAGTTTTTTGTTTGTGCTCCTACGGCTAAATTATAGCACTGTGCAAATTTAACTAATTCACGTGAGAAATTTTTGACCAGTCTCCCTTCACACATCACAGTATGTCTGTAGCTTGTTGTCATTAAAAATGTCATTTTATTGCTTCCTACTCGTCTTCAGTACTGACTGGTTTCTGAAGGCATGGAGTCTTGCTATCTCCTCTGCATGAGCTTGCATCACCGCTTATCACTTTCTGGGTATCCACAAGTGGCTGGCAGGAGCTGGCTGGCAGGGGCAGGCTGGGTGGGGAAGGAGGGACCTTACAGGTGTTTCACTGAACCAGTCCCATGACTTTGCTTTTTTTTCCTCCTGTGTAGCTGAAGAAGTGGATCATCCACCATCTGACATGGGGATAGGGGCTGACGTCCTGGAATCTGGAGACACCACGCCCCCCACCAAGAGGAAAAGCAAGTTCTCAAGCTTTGGCAAGATCTTCAAACCTTGGAAGTGGAGGAAAAAGAAAAGCAGTGACAAGTTTAAGGAGACTTCAGAAGGTAAGGCATCAGGCTTAGTGCTGCTCTTGAAGTTTGGTTAAACGCCTTTTTCCCCCACTGGGAAGCACATGCCAAGTTGGTTCATCCTTTCCAATTGGTCATCAGAGCAGTGGCAGCTATGGCTGAGCTGCAAAGTCTGACGGCAGCCTTGTGTCCCAGTGCTGGCATGCTTGGAATCAAAGCGTAGTTCTTTGCCAGTGGTGGGATGACAAATTCAACCGATCAGAGGCCCCAGCCACTGGCTCCTTAAAACTGCAGCTTAAATGTCTTTTAAATATCAATTTTCAGAAGAGTTTTAAAGGTGCAACATTCCTTTGTTGAAAGGAGCTTCCCCGGCAAGGCTTGGGTGGAGGAATGACTTGTTCACTGCTCTAGCACTAAATTTTGGTGTGTGAATACAGGCCTTGGGTTATTTTTAAATCCTCTTTCCTCTTCTTCCTCCATGCAGAATGCAGCCTCTTGAGCTGTATTTATTTCATCCACAGAGCCAATCCATCTGAAAACCATTTTTGAAACCCTCCCCTTGCCCTGTTTTCTGAGTGCTTTTTTTCAATTTAATATCAGTTTTAGAACGAAAGATTTCTATGCGAAAGCCAAGAGAGGAGCTGGTTAAAAGAGGGGTTCTGTTGGAAGACCCTGAACAGGGTGAGTTTGCACATGAACCTGTCATCCGCCTATCTGTGTTCTGTGTAGCTGGTCTGCTGCTGCCATAATCCCACCCTTGTTACTGCACTTTAAAATAAAAAAAAAAAAAAAAAGTATAAAGGCTGTTTTTTAAACATGCCCTCCTGTCCCTTGTCTGTCCTTTGCACGTGTTCCCTGTCTGGCTCCTGCACCTGGGTAGGAAAGCAGTGCAGTGAGGAAGAAATGCCAAAGGCAAGTATTCGGTGTTCGTATGCGCTTGCCTGTCTGCTGCTGACAGGGAAATTGTGTCACTTCCTGTCATGTCTCTGTCATATTTGTATCTCTGCCCAGTGTTTTGTCCCATCCCTCTGTGCTCCTGTCCTTCACGTTCATGCTCTCAGAAATCTCCAGGTTGTTCTGATTGTTTTAGTTTATATCCTAGTCCCAGTGAGAAATAGCTTAACTGTAATGTTGAATTCCAGGGCTACAAGGCCAAATGAAAAGAAACAAAAATTCAGTATGGCTTTTGAGCGGCTTGTGTAGAAGTGTTCCATCAGGAAGTTGACAGGAGTCCTTTACATACCCCTGAGACAGGCATAGAATGGTGCTTTCATTTCTGGGCTCCTCATCAAACGATAGGGAAAACAACAAAAATTATTAATGTAACTCAGGAGGAAAGATTCTAGCAAAATATGGTAAAATATGATTAATGTAATCCACAAGTATCTGAAACTTGTAAATACTAAGTTAAGGGATGGATTGTGTCGTTCAAAGATGTGTAATGAGAGTCATGGGATAAAACTTAGGAAGTGAAAATATAGGCTCAGTATACATTTCCTGTGTATGTGTGTAGGAGAGAGAGAGTTGAGAGAGATGGTGTTCCAAGGTGTAGCAAGGGTGTGGCACACAGGAGTTTTGGTAAGAGACCAAAGAATTTTGTGTTTTGGCTGTAGTCACTTGACCTGGGTTAGGAAGTGGAGGAAACGGTTGCAATAAAATTAAATCAAGTGCTAGAAATAAAATGTGGGATCAGGCAAGCACTGTCAGGCTGGATAGATTTAAAATCACAGAAATTAAAGATTGACTCTTTGATATTCCAAGTCAGTGGAAGGTTTCTGTTGTTGGTCACAGTTTTAAATTCTTCACTCTCAAAATCTGAAAGATGTATTCTGGAGGGAGAGAGGAGAGATTATTTTTTTTTACCCACTTACATGTGCTGTGCTGGCTTCTGAGTTCTGACATTCAGATCTCAGTGGCTCATTTCAATAAAATTCTTTGCTGTCCTTTATTCAGCTCTAGACAGCTGCATTATGTCTAGTATGTGTTTTACGGATTGCAAATGGTGCATGCAAATCTAAGGAGAGCAGCTGGCAGGGGTAGTGAGGGTAGGTTCAGATGGGATGCGAACATTGGTGGAGTTTTGGCAGACACAGGAAGACTGTGTGGGGATGAGGAGTAGAGAAGGTGATTTATCCACAGTGTGGGGACATAGAGAGCCAGCACCAAATGAGCAAGGGCAGCAGACGCAGTCCTTCGGGCAGGCTGACCCAAGCTCATGGAGCGCTTTAAAAGCAAGGGCGACCATTTTGAACTAGATTCTGAAATGATGAAAAGCCACTGGAATTGAAGTGCCTGGGGATAAAAGTGAGAGCCAGCAGCAGCATTCTCTACATGCCAGAACCTGGTAACTACAAGAGGGCATAAGGAGAGAGTTTGGATAGCTGAGGAGGGGCATGGGTTGTAACATCTAGGAATAAACCCTTCCTACAACAACAGAAGAGTGTTTTCCATCAGCATTGACAATCGACCTCTTTGAACCTTTGTCTAGGTTAATGGAAGAATTCTTCCATTGACTTGGGGGTTAGGTTGTCTTAACTACAGTGCACAGGGCTGTGAAGAAACTTAGCTTTCTCTACCTAACTTTTAAGTGTAGACTAAGCCTAATCAAATTTAGCCAACCCAGCAGCCTTTGCCTGAATTCTCAGAGAACTTGAAACAGTTGCTGAAAATGGAAAAAATGTGTCCTGTCAATCTAATGGGTAATAATTCAGTTTATGTCGACAGTGCAGTTTGTCAACAAAACTTGTCACTCGGGGATGTGTGTGTATGTGAGAATAAATCACTGCCTGAGCAACGTAAGTTACACTGACACAAGCACTGGTGTCACAGGCGATTAGTACTGTATGGCAGGGCAGAATGGATGTGTGGCTGCCTTTCTTTTCCTAAAGCACAGCTCAGCTTTCAGTGTTTAGGGAATGCTGCTGTAGAAAGCATGGGAAGAAGTGGTGAGGATAAAGGAGGTTCTGGAAATGCATGCCAGACCCAAATCGAAAAGGGAGGTAGGAGAAACGAGACTTTGAAAGAGAATCACCTTCCCCATTGTTCAGCTGTTTGGGGCTGCTCCTCATTTCCCAGGGCAAATGCTGCTCTCAGTGCAGTGGAAACACTGAATGAATCTTGTCTTCAGAACCAATCCTACTGGTGGCCTGGCCAGCATTTTGAGTTCTCTAATGTAGCGTAGTACAGGGATTCATTACGAGTCCCTAAAAGTAGGTTGAAACAGAAGGCTGCAAGCGCTTGACTGCAACTGCCACTGGACTGCTGAGAATGGGAGAGTGCTGGCCTTGAAGGCCATCCTAACTGTGAACCTTGTAAATATGTTCCTTTGTAAATGAGCTGGTAGTGTGGGAGACCACTGGAACAATGGATGCACCAGAGTTACAGGAGATCAGGCCCTATGCTACCTTTGAGCACATTGTGGTAGAAATTAAGAGCTCTGAACAAACTTGATGCTGGTGTTACCATATGCTGTTGTATGTGGCAAGTAATACTAGGACCATCTATTCCAGAAGTGAAGGAATGTTGTGGATACTTTCAGATTTTTAACTAGACAGTCATTGGCATTCTGTTGCCAGTTCCCTGCCTGCCAATAGGTATGTATCTTCTCAGACTTCAGATCGTAAAATCGTAGAACTGGAAGGCCCCTCGAGAGATCATCTTGTCCCAGACCCCCTGCACTCATGGCAGGACTAAGTATTAAGAATATTTTGTCTCCTAATGGCTTTTCTGTTCATTCCTCACCCCCTTCCCCTCACAGATGAAGAGGAACCAGACAAACTGAGCCATACTGAGTTGAAGAATGGGCATACAGTCCCCGTTGGTGGCCCTGGGATCTCAAACTTGGAGGAGGAGGTTGAAAAGAGATCAAGCCTTAGGAAGCCTGTTCCAGCTGAGGAACCAAAGAAAAGACCAGGTAAGAAATGAGGCTTGTTTCAGTTTCTCATGAAGAAATACCTGTCTTGAAGTCTCTTCTCTTGTGAGCCCTCATTCCCCAGTCTCTGTAGCATTCTTTTGTGTTCTCTTTGCAGGCTCATCCAGTAACAATCCCAGTTCAGAAGTGGAGCCATCTCATGAGCCACATGCACCCAGGCAGCCTTTGCTTCCTCCAAAAAGACCCTTGTCCTCTTCTCAGGAGGCAAGTGATGTGCAGGCGAAAGACCCTGCCCCAGCCAGCCGCACTATAAGGACTGCACCCTCTTCTTCTGTGACTGCCACCACCAGCACAGCAAAGACAGTCAATTCCACAGTCGCCCCTTGCCCAGCCCCCAGAACTCTACTCCCTGCTCATGCCAGCACTAACACTACTGCTACCACAAGTACAACCAGTGGGGTGCCAGCCAAACAGCCCCCCATCCCACCCCCAAAGCCAGTGAACAGAAATAGCAACCCTTTAATAGGTAAGTGTCTTCCTCTTTGCAAGTGGTTGTCAGGCACAGGGTGCTCTTTAGTTCTTACTTTGAGATTGCAGTCTCTGGAAGGGAAGATTTGGGTTACTGTGTTCATAAGTGGCATGTCTCTACCTGTGAGCCAATCAAGTATCTTCAAAGCTTGGCCACTAGACAGGCATGGAAATGGGTGAACTATGTTGGTTCCAGTCCCACTAGCACTGGACTAAAGTTAGTTACTTTCACATGGCACTAGAGACCTAACAATCTGCCTAGCGCAGATGTTTCCAGCAGCTGATCAAGCTACTCAGGGTCTTGTTTTTCTTTTAAGGGTAGTGACTGAGATTAAAAATCACTGTTGTAATGAAGAATTTTTCTTCCACCAAGGCGGGAACTTATCAGATGTGCTGGACTGGAAGGCTTAGGATTGTTAGTAGGGATGCTAAAATGCATGCTATTAAGTAACCGTGACCACTGAAAATTTCAGCAGTTACATGGGGGGTAGCAGCTGGCTCCCTGAGAGCTGGTGCACATGGGAAGCCTGCTTTTAAGCCAGCTTCCCACGTGTACTGGCTTCTGCCTGCTGCCCCACACTGCTGCCTCTGATACAGGCTCCCTGGGATGTCTTAAGAGCTGGCTCCCTCATGTACCAGGAGCCTGCGTATCACCATGAATGTTAACCAATAAGCCTTGGCCAAGCCAAGTTTAGTTACAGCTGTTTGGTGTTCTTAGGAACTGGTAAGTCCCAGCAGGAAATGTCCACATGACAAATCGCTGTGGTATTTGGCCTGGATCCATGCCCATGCTGGAACTTGCAGCAGCAAGGCAAAGGATTTGGAGTGGGCTGTGGCGTCTGAATTGTCTCCATACTCCTTTAGGTGCTTCCTCAAACGTGCATTGGCAAGGCAGCTAAGGCATGTTGGGGAAGCACGCCCCTTCTCCCACTCATTCTGCTGCTGTGGGTAAATGGAGATGGTCAAGCTGGAGGGCTTCCCATCTGGGAACTCCCACAGCCCTAAAATGTAAACTAAGAGTGGATTCTTCCTAGTGCTGGTTAAGTAAAAAATATTAAATGCATTAATTTCCAAACCTGTTTTAACAGAACATGTTGGGGGTGGGGGGAGTTTCTTGCCAGACAGTTAGCCCACCATTAAGTATTGGTCTCTTAGATGCCTTCGTTAATACATTTCACTTGTGACTTATAGTTTAAGTGGCTGAATCAAGCCTTTAAAGCACCATCCCCATTTCACAACCACTGCACAGCTCTGTCACTCGTCTTCAGGCTGGAGTAGCAGGGAGTGCCAGAGATCAGGACTGAGATGTAGGGACAGAGCTGTGGCCTGAGTCCATCACTGGAAAAGTGGTGTCTGGGCATATGCACGTCTTGTTGGGAACCATTGGCAGAGCTGTATAGAAGGCTGAGACCAGTGCTTTCATTTACACAAGCAAATAACTCTGCTTCTCCAGACTAAAAAAATGAATTTGAATCTAAATCGTTCAGTATTTCTGCTCTGGGATGCTCTTTGCTCTAGCAGGTTTTACAGTTGAACTGTGCATGGTATTAAACTGCTGTTTGCCAGATGAGGAAACTAGTCTGACATTCCTGTTGTGCAAGCAAAGAAATACCTTCTTAGCTAGTTTAAGCTGCTTGCATACAACATGGGTGGTATTTGAAATGCACCAGCACTAATTGCAGATGATGTTGAGAAAAAAATGTAATGAAAGACCGCAAACTGTCCTGCTGCTGCTAACCCAGCCATGTAGGGTAGGGCTTCAGACACCTATGGCAGAGGGTGTGAGAGGAATAAAATGTCAGGAGAGTTGACCAGCGTCTGCACCTGTGTTGCTTGCTTTGCCTGTTGAGAATCCACATCTGAACGGTGAACAGTTTCACAATTCTGATCTGTGCAAACCTACATTTAAAAACTAAACTCAGTATTGTTTCTGACACACGAGTATTGAAAGCAGGATTGGAGTTAGTCACTCTGTAGTATCAAACCTGCCGTTTCACGTGACTAAAGGGTAAAATAGAAGGGTTGTGTGTTTGGATGGTATAAACAACAAGGTAGGGAAGAAAATATTTTAACAGGATAGTAAAGATGCAACTAGGAACCAGTGGATTTGAATTTGGCAAAGGAATGTACAATTTCCATGTCCAGAAGTGTTACCCAATGGTGAGATTGGAGAATAGGCTCCCAAAGGAACAGATGAAAGCCCTGTTGATGACAAGACATGAAATAGAAGGGAACAGTAGAATTGAAGTGAAGTGAACATGACTAATGTAACTAATGTAATGTCTTTTCCATCTCTCTTTTCTCATTTGGAACATTAGGCTGCTGGCCTCTTAAACTTCACTTCACAGCAGAATAGGCTCTGAAAAAGCCACATTGCATGTAACTAACTCTTACCCTACAGCCGTGGTCCCCAACACAGTGCCCGCAGGCGCCATGGCGGGGGCATTTATGTGCGTCCATGCTGCCGTTTTAAAACTACTCACATTCACCCCTGCTTAGAGCAGGGTCGGCAGCCTGGGGCCCGCGAGAGAGCCTGACGCGGCGCTTTGGAGGCTTGAGCCCCTCCCCCACCGCAGCAGGCAGCCCGCGCAGGCGCGTCAGTAGCCAGAGCAAACCCCACACTGGTCGGGTCTGGCTGCGAGGCAGCAACAGGCCCCATCCCCTGCGCAAAACAGCCATGGCGGCGCCCTTTGTGGTGCAGGAACTGCGAGCCGGCAGGAGAGGGTCCCTCGTGGCCGCTTCCGCCCCCCCCCCCCCCCCGCACAAGCCCATTGGCCGGACCTGGACAATGGCAGCTGCGGGAACCTACCAATCCCCAAGCACATGGTCAGGCAGGTTCTGTGGGAGAAACAGGAGAGCAGCACATCTCGCTGGTGAGTGTCCAGCCCCCCAGCTACTCCCACTCCTATATCTTCACCCATAGAACTCTCCTCCCAGACCCTGCACCCCAGTCCCCTGCCTGACCCCCCGCCCTCTCCCCCCCAGTATAATGGCTGGTATTTTCAGTTTCTCAGCTGGAAAGCCACTTGGGACATTATTCCCCTGCCATGTGGAAGGGAGTGTGAAATTTAAATGTACCATGATTTGGGGGGGAGGGTGCTTTTTTTGCTCAACATTTGGACATTTCCCCCCCCCCTTTTATTAATGCAGAGTTTTGTTTAAAATGTATAATTAAAATAAAATTATCCAATTAAATTAAGTTTCTATCAAATTTACCCAATTCACATTTAATATGAAAATAGCCTTCAGTTGCACATTTGATGCCTTTTTTCTATTTTTTTTCCCTCCAAGTGGGGGGGAGGGGGCACAAATTGACATTATTCCCCCTGCCATGGTGGGGATGGGGAGTGTGAGATATAAAGAGGCCATGGTTTTTTGGGGGGAGGGTGCTTTTTTTGCTCAACATTTGAACATCCCCCCCCTTTCTATTAATGCAGAATTTTTTTAAAAAATGAATTACAATATAATTAAAATAAAAATTATCCAACTAAATTAAGTTTCTATCAAATTTACTCAATTCACATTTAATATGAAAATAGCCTTCAATTGCACATTTGACACCTTTTTTTTGTTGGCGCCCACCACACTCTTCTGAAAACATGAATGTGCTATTGTCCACAAAATGGTTGGGGACCACTGCCCTACAGAAACAAAAGAGAGGACTATGCAGCACTTTAAAGACTAACACGATGGTTTATTAGGTGATGAGGTCATCACCCAATAAACCATTGTGTTAATCTTTAAAGTGCTGCATAGTCCTCTCTTTTGTTTCAGCGAGATCAGACGAACATGGCTACATTTCTATTACTATCTTACCCTACAGTAGTTCACAGTGAATGCATGGATTCTGTCCAAGACAATGCTAAGTACAGGCGCAGCTGTGGCATTCACAGTAAAGTGGGTAATTTACCCCTTGCTAGAGCAATGGGTTGGCTTCCGTCAGTGCTTTTTTTGTTAAATAAATAAATAAAATAAATAAATAAATAAATGAAATAAAGGTGCCAGTACTCCAGGGAAAAAGTTGAGGGGGGGGGAAAAAGCCAGTGTGGGGCCGGCATTGCCCTTTTAAGACATGTGGCCCCTTTAAGAAATGCGGCCAGCCGACTGACAGACATTTGCATACAGAGGTGCTGGTACGCTCCGTTCTTTCCAGGTAAGAATGGAGGTGCTGGTACTGCATACTGGGCAGTACCGTCACAAAAACAGCACTGGCTTCTGTGTTGGATTAGAGGCATTTGTATTGTTCTGGATGCAGTGAAACTAATTATTAATCTGGTGAGAGAGACTCCTTACTCTTACTCATGAAGAGAGACCAATTGGATTTGCAGTTGGACCTAATTCTATAGCTGCTCCCCTGAATGGGGGAGAGAAAAGGAGAGAGGATGGCTGCTGGACTGGTCTCAGAATCGGTCTCTTAGTAGCCAAACCTGTCCTCTAAGGGCTGATCTTATGTAGCTTTGAATGGCACTGAAAACCCTCCAAGCTGAAGGACACTCAGCACTAGACAGACTCAGGGCCCTTAATCTGCAGTGAAACATCTGTACGTTCTGAGCTTTTGAAAAATGTGACCATTTCTGTATTATTGCAGTCTCCCCAGGAAGCGCTATCTCCTGATCTCTTGCTACCTTTTGTGGCTCTGCACAAAAGACTAGTAGCTCTTGTTCCACATCTGGGAGTGTGTCGACACAGGTGTGATTGTTCCATGGAACACAATTTGACACCAAATAAAACTGATGTTTTCAAAGCAATTTGGTAGGAGGGAAATTGACCTTTCAACCCTAAGAAGCTTCTTTTGCATTAATATTAAAGGCCCGAAAGCCACTGTGTAGTAGAGCCTGGCATGGGACTTTTAAAAATTATGTTCCCATGGTTATGGCAGTAGGTACTGTGGGTCGCATGGGATCCCAGTCCTGCTGCAAAGCTCAACGCACTAGTTCTGTGCAGGGTTCTCCACTTCATCAGAAGTCCGGTGTCCTTATTAAACATGGGATATTCCCCTTTGAGAGAAGTGACATACCAAGTGTGAGGACTCCACATTTGGGAACCACTTGTGAAGACTGTATTTTCTGGATTTTGGTACATTACATTTGGGTTCCAGCCCTCTTCCCCTAGTTGCTTTTTTCTTGTCATTCTCTCCTTGATCCGCATCAAACAGCACATACCGCTGCATCATAATCAGATCGGCCTCACAAATTGGGAAGGGACTTTCCCAACTATAGATTTCATGGACCCTCTGGACAAATGCAGATTCATTATGTCAACTCTGCCTTAGATGTAGTGACCGCAGTAGCACCATAGATGAAGGGTAAGCTGGTAACAGGACTTGTGATCCAGTGTTGAGTCCATATGGAGTAGGAGAAAGCCCTTTCATCCTGCAGAAGAGTAGCTAGCAGAAATGTTCTCTGATAGCTAAATTGAGTGTGAGCCCTTCAATGTTTCAGTCCCATTCAGTGCCAGATGTATGCACAAACTAAGCAAGCTACATTTTAGGGCCTCAGATTGAGAGGCCTCTAAATAAACTTTATTTCTGTTTTCATTCTCCTTTCTGTTAGACTAATACACATTTTTTTTGGTAATGCTGTGGGGCCTCTTAAACTTGCTGAGGCTCTAAGCGGTGTCATGTCTTGATCCAGCCCTGGTCCCTCTGCTTCTTCTTCAAATAGCAATACCTTAAAAGTGTGCTATGAAAGGAAAAGCTTTAAGTGAAGGTTTATGCCGGGGATATTGTAGCAGATTCCATTGTTGGGTGATGGCTGTAAATGCAAGCACAAAGTGTCCTGGTTGCATTCATTGCTTCGCTAGGTGAGCAGCATACTGATAAGCATGTCCAGCACCTGCCTGAGGAATGCTGCCATTCCTGGAGCTGGCTGTACTGTTGCACTCTCCCCAAGCCAGCCTTCCATGCAGATCAGCAAGATGAGCGGAGCTCTTCCGGCCTGCTTGCGCTTGGCTTTTGTCCTGACTTCTTTCTTTGAAGCACAAGTGAGAAGCTTTGCCACTGGTTACCTCTGGCATCTGGCTTTAAGGAGCGAGCAGCTGAGTGTGCAGGAGGTCATGCAATCTGATCGAGGTCTTAATGGGTCGGAATCTGCCCGTTTCTAACCCACTGGGTCCTGTAGCATCTTGAGAGTTTTCTGTGCTCAGTCCGTGTGTGAGTGAGGAGTCCTTGGTGGTGACAAGACACTAACAAAATGTGGGACCTTTGTTCTCTTCCAGCTGAACTGTCTCAAGCAGTGAACAGTGGTACGGGCTTATCAAAGCCTTCCCCACCCTTGCCACCCAAGAGGGGCATTCCATCTAACATGGCACCCTCACTGGAGTCAGCAGGTGCCTCGAAAGCACCAAGTGATAGGGCAGTGACAGCTGCTCGTCCCACATCGATACCAGTGCATATCACCATGTCTCACCCACCACCTTCGCCTTCTCCGCCACTGCCCAGCCACATACCTCCCGAGCCCCTACGCACACCCCTGCCTGCCTCCAGCCCTGCAGCAGAAGCCCAGCTCTCTCTGGAACTGCCCAAGGAGAGCCCTCAACAGGAAGATCTCAAGTCACTGGAAGTGCCCAAGAGGGTGGCAGAGCAGGGGTTTGGAGAACCTCACGTGCCAACGCGGCTGCCCCAGATTCCACTGCACATCCGGATCCAGCAGGCACTGACAAGCCCCCTGCCAGTTACCCCACCTGCGGAGGGGTCTCACAGGGCTCACTCACTGCTCTTTGAAAACGACAGCTTCTGCGAGGACAATGGCCTGGGCCGGACCAGGTCACTGCCAGTCACCATCGAGATGCTGAAAGTGTGAGTACAGACTCTGCGCATGCAGGAGCACTGATGGGCAGCCACCACTGTAAGGAGGGGGGGCAGCCAGGCATGCAGTGGTCTGCATTGTGTGTGGGAGTGCGGCACCCCGTGTCTACACACAGTACCTACAGTTGAGGAAAATGCCCTGGGAATTGAGTATTCAGAGAAGTGGGGATCACCTTGGAATGCTGGGCAGGAAAAGCAAAAGCAGAGCTGAGGAATCTAGGTATTTAACTGCACTGACAAGACAAAGTGAGATCCTCAGTTTCTTCATTCATCGGTGATTGCTCCTGATGGCCTGGAGCACGGCTGGGCAAGAGGCTGTCAGCAGGCCGGATCCAGCCCGCGGCAGCTCCCACCCCTAACACGTTGCTTGGGAGCCACTGGGGAGGAGTGAGCCCTTTCAACTCCTGCTATTTAAAGGGTTTGTGCTTTCCTGGCGGCCACCAGGCAATGTGTTAGCAGCGGGGCTGGGAGCTGCAAGTCCTTTCAACTGCTTCTGTTTATAGGGCTCGCGCCTTCCCCGCAGCTGCCAACGTGCGAGCCCTGTAAATAGAAGGAGTTAAAAGAGCTCGCTGCTCCTGGCCCCACCTGCAGCGTGTTGCTGGGGAGGTGAGAGCCCTTTCAACACCTGCTGTTCTGCCTGAGGCCCCGCCTCTTCCAGGGCAGCCTGCGACCACTTCTGAAACTTATAAAGTGCCCCCCCCCCCTTCAAAAATTATTGCCCACACCTAGTCTAGAGCGACTGCTTGGGACTTGATGAGAGAGTCTCCCCCCATTTCTGCCTGTGTTTGGCAGCAGCTTTAAACCCAAATGGGGCTGGCTGGTGATATGGGGCTGGCTGGTGATAGGTGGTGTAGGCGTTAGCTTCGGACAATGGATCTCCTTGAATTGGTGCTTGCTGAGTCAGTCTGACCCTTCAGGAAGGAGGGCTCATGCAGTGATTAAGGCATAGACCTGGGAACAGAAACCCTGAGTCTCCTTCAGACTCCCACGGCCATTGACCAGCCACTTGTGTGGGGGGGTTTTCAGAAGTCCCCAAGGAAGCGTCTTGACTCAAGTTCTTGACTCCCTTAGGTGCTTTTGAAAATCGTGCTCATAATCTCTGTCTCACTTGCTGCAGTTTGTGAATGTTCAAAGCACTTTGACATCCCTGGATGGAAGGTGCTCTAGGAAGGCAAAGACATCTGAATACTTAATAGCTCAGCAAAGCTCCCACTAAAGAGTTGTGGGGTAAAACAGGGTGCAGCAGCCCCAGGTCCAACAGCCATTGGCTAGGAGAGGGCTACTGTGCTAATGACCAGCGTTCCGTAGACGCACTTCCATTTAAGTTGTCATTGGGGCTGGGAGAGAAACAAATCCCTGACTGCAAAGTGAATCATTGTCATTGTTAAAAGAAATAATAATCGTGTGCGTTTTTTGTTAGTCCAGATGATGATGAAGAGGAGGAGGAAGGAGACCAAGAAGGTCAACGGAGTTCAGGTCACCGCGTTTACATTGGTGAAGCACCATCTGTCACGATCATTCCCAGGTTAATGCCGCAGCCCCTGCAGGAGGAAGAAGAGGAGGAGGAGGAGGGAATGAGTGATTCGGACTCAGAGGGTCCCATCCTGTATAAGGATGAGGAGGATGAAGAGGAAGATGAAAGCCATAACAGTAAGGTTTCACCTGGGGGAGGGGGAGACAGCTTCACTCCTATATGTGCACAACTGTATTGAGTCACATCAAGAACCCAATGAAAGGGCTAACCATTGCAGCACCCCATAGTGTTAACCTCTTTTTGGCCTCATGAGAGGCTCCACATCTGCAACGTGTGTAGTATTGAACACTGGAAAACATAATCCCACCTGTTCATGCAGAACGATGGGGACTGTTATCACTCCAGAAAGAGATCTTGGAGTCATTGTGTCTAGTTTTCTGGTAACATTTGTTCACTGTGTCGTGGAAGTGAAAAATGGTAACAGAATGCTAGGAGCTATTAAGAAAGGAATAAAGAATAAAACAGAAAATATCATACTGCCACTATGTAAATTTATGGTACACTCACACTAGAGATGTAAGCAACTAGTCGACTACCTACCTGATAAACCTAGGCTTATTGGGTAGTCGAGACACTATTTGACTAGTCACTCCCCACTTCCCTCCTGCTGCCTCTGTATCAGCCATGTACTTTTAAATGGAGTAACAGCCAGATGGCTAACCCCACTGCGGCTCTGCAGTTTCCCCCCTTATCAACTAATCAAGTAGTGGATTGAAATTCTGTGGACTACTCAATGAGCTAAGTAAACACAATTTAACATCCCTAGGGCACAACCCCCTGGTCTGGAAGTCTCTTAAGAGCCAGAAGCGGGGACTGGACAACAGACGATCGATCACTTGATAATTGCCCTGTTCTGTTAATTCCCTCAGAGTCCCCCAGGCTCCATGTGGCGCTTCTGCTTTGAAATGTGTAAGAGCCCCAGCAGGCGCTCTTGTGCATTTCAAAGGCGAAACTTGGTAGTTCTTATCAAATAGTCGATAGAAATCCCATCGACTATTCGATTTAGTTAATCAAAATTGAACATCCCTACATTCTATCTAGACAGGCTGGTGTGATACCTTTCATCATGCGGCAGGCTGTGCTGTAGCTGTGTTACCTTAGTGTTGGCTTCTGGCAGCAGGGGAGCTGTGGTACTTGACTCTGTGTGGGGGCGGGGAGAGGGAGGCCAAGCTGTCTATGGGTCTTACCTCTTACAGTTTGAGGGCACCACTCTCTCTACTCACATAAGGAACTCTTCTTCCCTTTCCCACAGGCACTCTAGCTAACAAGGTGAAGAGGAAAGACACACTGGCCATGAAGCTGGGCAACATGGGCACCCAGCAGGAGCTGGAGGAAAAGAATGCTTTTCCTCGCAAGAGCAAGGAGGAGTGGAATGAAATTCGGCAGCAGATTGGAACAGCTCTGATCAGGTACGAAGTGCAAAGGAAAAGAAAAATCCTCTAGTCTTTGGCATAACTAAGGGTAAGCCAAGAAATCTGCTTGCTTGAATGTGGCAACAAGTAGACTTTTTCTTTATTGAGGACAGCCCTGGCAGGTAGGGGAGATAGGCACCTGGTCACCATTGCGCTAAGTGTGGGCTCAGCTTGTGCCACCCGGTTGTGCCCCTGCTCCTTGGGATAGAGAAGGAAAAATCCTCTGCATCTCGTGACAAGTATTGGAGTGTGGCAGCCCTGCTTTCTGAGCCCTCCCAGATGTGCAAGTAAACTTGATTGAAGTGTTCACCAAATACAGGGTGTATTGACAGCTTCTCTGAGCCATTTACACCCAACTTCGGACCAGCTTGTCCCTCCTGTGTTGCCTACACAACTGCTGTCTGGTCCAGAGAGCTCCATGAGAGCAGCACTTGCGTGGGCCAGGTTCAGTCTAGAGGACTCTGCTGCATGGATAGAAAGTTGTGAAGGGCAGAGGACAACATAGTTGTCTGGTTTGAGCAGTAATGATCTTAATCCAAAAAGGGGGAGAAAGATGAGTCAAGTGAGCATGGTATTAACTCTGTCCCTGATTGCCTCCATGTGAGAGTTTGCATCTGTGAGTCCTACAGGAATATGGCTGGGCAAGTGTAATGGTTTTTACCTCTTCTCGTTTAGGCGACTAAGTCAGAGACCAACAGCAGAAGAGCTGGAGCAAAGAAACATACTTCAACGTGAGTAGAGTTGCCCTGAAGCTCCCAAACATTTAAATTGCTGCTTTTGGGGTGTTTTGGGTTTTTTGTTTTTTGTTACTTCACTTTGCTGCAGATGTTCTTATCCATCAGTACTTATTAGCCAGGATGGGTAGGAATGGTGTCCCTAGCCTCTGTTGGTTAGGGGCTGGAAATGGGTGACAGGAGAGGAATCACTTGATGATTACCTTTCTGTTCACTTCCTCTGGGGCACCTGGCATTGGCCGCTGTCGGCAGACAGCATTCTGGGCTAGATGGACCTTTGGTCTGGCCCAGTCTAGCCATTCTTATGCACTGAGATCTCCTGGGAAAATAGGCTAAATACTCCAGAGCCCCTGTTTGGCACTGTGGTGACTGCGCATTCTGTGGTCTGTTACATCACTGTATAAAAAACAGTTTCATTAGATTTCCCAATTACACTGTTACTCATGAGCAATGGTTTGAATTATGGTTAATGAATGGGACTCCATTGAATCCAGGAACCTGCAGTAGAAAGCCCTGCTTTTGGGTTGTAGCGTCAGAGTGATGCAGGGAAGGAACGTGATTAGAGCTAAGGTTTTAGGCCCCTGTTTACAAACTGCACTGAGCTAGTGTTACTGTGCTGTTCTGTATCCCTTCTGTGGGGTACCAGCAAACACTGTCCTGTCTGAAATTTCCTGGAGAATAGTATGAACACTTGAACACAATTCAAAGGACCCTGTTCAGTAATTTATACCCGAAGGATTGTGAAATAACACACGGTTGCTTTTTTAAATAAAAAGTGTTTTGCTTGGATGTAAACATTTAACTGCAGTATGTGCAGCCCACAAATCACTGAATTATGCTAGAGCATAAAACCCAGCAGATGATTATGGTCTGTCTAGCTTTGTTGCCCAGATGAGTGTAATTAGAGTTAACGGTTATAAATGTCAAAAAGAAACAAGACTTTAAAAATCAACTTTAGAAAGGAACATGTCAGAGGTCATTTTAAACAGAAATGTCCTTCTCTGAATTGCCTTTTAAACCAGTAGCATAACAGATCTGGGGAGGGGGGTGCTTCAAGTACCCATTTAAAAATGTGATTTAGGCTCATAGGAGACAAAACCACTCAGATGGTTTAGAAAAATTTGCCTGGAGTCCTCTGCTAGTCTGGAGAGGGCCCTGGTTAGCTATTGACCCATCCTGAGGTAAGGCCCTTTCAGCCATCTGTGGTGTATGGGACAAGTACAGATTATGGGACAAGTAAAGATTCAGACATCCTTTCCCTAGTGCTCTCAGCATGCCTGCTGTTACTGTTGACAGACCGTAGGAAATGCAGATATCCCCTTGCTATGAAAAGCTAATTTTCTGTGTTCAGCTCTTGAAAGTAGTTTTCAAAAACAAGTAGTGTTGGCCATGCTTAAATGACACATTTTTTTCCCCTTGCCAGAAAAAAATGAGGCTGACCGGCAGGCCGAGAAGAGGGAGATTAAACGCCGACTCACCAGAAAGGTACTGCAGTGCTCCATGTTGTGCTGCCTATCTCTCTGAGCTGATATGGATGGTGGTGGTAGTAGCACCTAAGAGACTGTAGAGGGGTGGAGAAGTCCGTGAGGTTGCTCTGTGATTATCCTGAGTGACCTCTGACTGTAACAGGCTGGGAATTAGAATCATAGAATACTAGAACTGGAAGGGACCTCGAGAGTCCATGAAGTCCCGGTCCCCTGCCCTCAGGACCCAATACTGTCTAGACCATCCCTGATAGTCTATGTAACCTACTCTTAAATATCTCCAGAGATGGAGATTCCACAACCTCTCTAGGCAATTTATTCCAGTGTTTAACTACCCTGACAGGAAGTTTTTCCTAATGTCCAATCTAACATCCCTTGCTGCAGTTTAAGCCCATTGCTTCTTGTCCTATTGGTCTCAGCTGTCGAGGTATCACTGCACCTATCGCTGGGGTCTTGGAGTTTTATAGTAAAACAGCAGCAGCCATAGTTTTCACACTGGGTGGCCTTGAAATCAGTTTCCTAAAGAAATGCTTAGGAGAAATTGCTGCAACTGCTTAGTAGTTGTCTTCAGTGAGATTTGTTCCCAGTACTCTGAAAAAACAGCCACTTATTTAGGTGCTTAGATGTGGATTTAGGAACCTGACTTGAGGCAGCTAGGCTCAAGAATTGACTGCCATTTCCAGAATGGGGTGTGAAATGGACAGACTACCCCAGATTCTAACACTGCCCTGTCCCATATACCAAAAGGATTAGCTATGGATCTCAGATGGGTCTAGCCCACAGGCACAGAGTTAATTTCGTTCCATAATTGTGGCTGGGAAGGAATTTTTCCAGAGCATATTGATATGGAGCTTGAGTACATGTTGCCATTCACTGGTTGGGGGTACAACCCACACAGTCAGTCTCTTGCAGTGGCATGGGAAATGATATCACTGTATCAAGGTCCCTCCCTCCATCTGTTCCTGTAGCTCTCGTTTGAAATGCCATCCTGGCCCTGTGTGCTTTTTTCACTACCATAGACTCACTTCACTGAGGAGGCACTTAGCTACTGTCCTTAAGAGTTACTATGTGCTGTGTTGCATCTCACATCAGGAGCCAGCAGTTCATAATAGTGATCTCTCGTGTTGACACAAAGATTAAAAGGTGGAGTCTTTGACCAATATGCACATTGGTGACAAGTACAGTCGAAGCTGACCTGTCTTCTGTTGTTTTCAGCTTAGTCAAAGGCCTACAGTAGCTGAATTGCAAGCCAGGAAGATCCTGAGGTTTCATGAGTATGTGGAAGTGACAAATGCTCAGGACTATGACCGGCGAGCAGATAAGCCATGGACAAAACTCACCCCTGCTGACAAGGTAATGTCAAGAGTGCTCTCTTCCCAGCCCTTGAAGCCATACATTGGATACTCCATGCTCAGGAATGTGAGCAAAGTAAAGTTGCTCTTCTTCCTTTTGCTTCAACTCTTCCATGTAGTGGAACCGTCCAATTCCCTCCCTCCTTCCGAATGACTCTTCCCACCTCTCTGGCCCCATCCTGTTGAGCATCTACCCGCTACCAGCACACTAACAGCTTCCGTTCCCTACATACAGAGCCCAAAGGGCCTCTGTGCTGCTTTCTCCTCATTCCTGGCCCAACCACCCTCTTCTTGCTGTGGCAGGGTACAGATGCTGGGAAGACCCAAGTAAGAGGGTGTTCTTGGCAGGCGGAAGCTTGCCTGATCAGAGTCGTGGCAGGAAAGTGTTTCAGTCCAGTTCCATGCATCATTGTACTTTAAGAACTGGGCAGACCTTAGGATTACAGGCACCTGGGAATTAGTCAGAATCGTAAGGTTAACCTGAGTCTTGAGTAGGGTTGCTGAAGAAGAAATGAGGATGCTGCTGAGTTTGATCTCCAAATCCTCACTTGAGGTATAGCTATCTGCAAGCTCTCTCTTCAGATACGAGGAAATGGAGGCGGTGGTCAGTCCTGTCCATTTCAAAACTACATGTGCCCTTCATTTTCTTCACCACAAGTCACTGAGATGGTGCGGACCAGCCATAAGCAGATCAATTTGTGTAGCACGTCCTGAGTCTGTGTTAATGGTCGGTGTGTGCGGGGGGGTATGCCCGTCTGGTGACCTGAAAGGATTTCTCTCCTCCTCCTTGCAGGCTGCCATCCGAAAGGAACTGAATGAGTTTAAAAGCTCTGAAATGGCAGTGCATGAAGACAGCAAACACTTCACACGGTGAGTGAGACAAGATTCCAGCCCATTTGTTTGCCTCCGTGGCTGCTTTGGGTCTTGCTTGTAAAGCTGAGCTTTGAGCCCCTTGATCCAAGAGCGGATCTGAGCTTTAATATAGAATATGAGCTTTAATCCTATGTGGGAGAAATGACCAGATGCAGTTTTCAGACTTTTATCTTCACTTTCCTCATTGCTGGAGAGCTTCTTGCGTGCACCTGCCTGTAAACTGTGGGCCTGGAGGCTGGGTAATGAGTTAGTGAGCCTTTCGCCAGTTTACAGTGGGTTCAAATCCTGGTAAGTCAATAGTGAGCAAAAGCTGATTCTAGTTAACAGCTGGCTAGTGGTGTATGTTCCATTTCCAGGTCGCCAGGTCCCCATGTCACAGAAAACACCATGGCTACATCTACACTGGCACCCTTTTCTGGAAATGCTTAAAACGGAACAGTTTTCCGTTATAAGTATTTCCAGAAAAAGCGCGTCTACATTGGCAGGATGCTTTTCCGCAAAAAATCCCCGATCGTCATTTTCGCGATGAGGGCTTTTTTGCGGAAAAGACTACTGTGCTGTCTACACTGGCCCTTTTCCGGAACAGTTTTTCTGGAAAAGGACTTTTGCCCGAATGGGAGCAGCATAGTTTTTCTGGAAAAACAATGACAATTTTACAGTAGATTGTCATTGCTTTTCCGGAAAAGCAAGTGGCCAGTGTAGACAGCTGGCAAGTTATTCCAGAAAAGCGGCTGCTTTTCTGGAATAAGTGGCCCAGTGTAGACACAGCCCATTACAATTCCTCCGCCAACTCACTCCACAGTCTCTGCATAGAAGTCAGTGGCGCATGGAGACTGAAAAGCTGCCCCCTCAAACTTTTGAGTGTGTTGGCTAGGCAATGCAAGTCAAGTTCTTTCTCTGTCTCCCACTGGGGTGGGTTGGCGCACAGGGGTGTGAAGTGACTTCAAAATTATCACTAAGAATCAGTGATTTCACACTGTCAGTGCGGACATTCTAGCAGTATAGACAACCTGATTTTTTTAAAACATCCATAACACTTCTTTACAGTTTACCGACATTCCAGCTGTGACATTGATTTTATTCTTCCATCTTAGGTACCATCGGCCATAATCCTCCAAAAGAGGGAGTGAGAAACCAGAGCGGAGAGGACTGAAAGTGTGTGGTATTTCTATCTTCTTGACAATACAGTGAGAGAGAACCTGGGGGCTCATCCATGCTTTGCCTTGAGAGCATACCCAGAAAAGGGCTATGAGCTGGGGTGCAGGGGGATTCTATCTGAATGTAGCATTTCACTGGAACAAACACATCTCAAGTGCCATCAGGCTGGAACTGAACACTATACCTCGCATGATACAGCAATACTCCCCAGGCATGCAGGCACCCTGGCTCACCATCCTGGGGACCACTCTGGCATTGGAACTGAGCTCTTCCACCCCTCCCCCAGCTGCCTTTCTTGCTCATGATGGACCCTGTTCTTCACTGTAAATAGTCCTTACAAACTGGTTGGAACTTTTTGTTTTTCCCTTTTTGGTAAGGGGAGGGGAAAAATAATCTAAGCTCTGATGTTCCAGAGAGCTGGGAAGCATGTGTGTATATTTGCTGTGTACAAAGGAAACCTTTTTTAAAAATGCTGTCCTGGCAGGAGACTGACATGTGACTATTTTTGATTTTGCTTGTGTCTTTTTAATGTACTTAATATTCTGAATCACTACTGACCAATGTATGTTGCCCTGGAAGGGAAATGTATAGACTGTAACAACATATGCTGCATCTTGTAAACTTAAATTTTTTTATTTTACAAAAACCAAACCCACGAACCTGCTCCTGCGCTAATAGACCTTGTCTTGAGACAATTAAGCTCTTGTTTAATAGGAGCTACAGACAAAGGAAATGACTGTTGCCTTTTAAAGTTTTGTTTTTAATTTCAGGAAATTGTGGCATGTAGTAAGCTTTCTTTGATTGTGTCTTCCTCTATTTTATTTTTTTTAAGTCTCCCAAACCAGGGTGAAACTTGCCTTTTCCTAGTCCCATAGCGAAACCTACTGGAAATTCTGAGCATTACACTGTGGGGCAGGGGAGGTTTTAAAAAGTGGCCTTAAAACCAGCCAGTCTTTTAAGAGTGTTTTCATATCAGTTCTTACTGAATGTTAATGTTGATATCGGCTACTGCTGTAATGAAGTGCACAGCACTTGTCCCATGAGAGTGAAATGACACTTGGAATGAAGGGAAAGCAGGGGGAGATGTTTAAGAAGATGGGCGATTGGGGATTTTAAAGGGTGGAGAGTTCTGTGGTGTTGGATCACTGGCTTGTCTTATTCGTTACTTGTTCACTGTCTTTGCTGGAGATCACTCACAACCTATATGCTCGTGAATCCTATATGCCTACCTAATGTGGAGGCCTTTTCATATGCTTGGTACTGCCCTTTTTCCATGAAGTGCTAAGTATCTGGTGGGCCAGTCCCACAGGATATAGTGTGGCACCCTCATCTGCTGCAATCGCACTCTCGGGAGATAGTTAATTCTTGTTTCATCTCAGTCATATTCTTATGCAAGGAGTCACTGGGGAGAATTTCTTGTTTCTTCAGGGTTCCTTTGCTGCCCCCACACCAATGATTCACAAAGAGGCAAAGATTGAAGTTCCCTTTTATGGAAAAAATTTGGAACTGGTGCATTGTATTTCCATATTGCTTCTCTGATGTACAAAATCTCTGTAGACTACATGATTGCGTTGTATATCTGTTATCCTGTTGACAAATTTTAATTATTAAATAAAGTATTTTAGGATTTTTTTTGTAAATAAAACAACTTGTCTTGTACTTTTGCCACTCACAGATAGGGGACAAATACTTGGGGCAGGAGGGGGTTGTGACCTAGGGCATGGGTGCAAGATGGAATGCAGAGGGTTTGGATCTGACCCTGGGACAGGAGGGACTACCGCCGATCCCAGCAATGGCAACAGAGTTCTTCATCCTTTTGAAGAGGAACAATTACATTCTGTATGATTTTAGTCTTTTGCAAGTCTGTCACGAGACCATAGCTTAGGTTCTGTTTGACTTATAAATAACATCCTGCTGATGTTCAGTCTAAGCATAGGGAATATTACTACCTCTGACCAAAATTTTCTCACCCACATTGTACTTACGGGCTATTGCCCTCCACCCCAAGAGAAAGTGCATGTCTGCCATGTTGCTATATAGTAGGTTGTCATTTTGAATCTTAAGGATGAAAGACTATGTAAATATGTTATAAAGGTAGCTTGTGAGCTGGAGTACATTTGCTTCTGTGTATTTATATATGGATTTGCCTTGGGAGAACCATTTGGTTAGTGAGGACCATCTGCTCACAGGATTTAGAAACCTGTTTGAAATTCTGTGGGATGAAGTGGAGACTGATTTCTGCCAGTGCCCTCTTTGATACCCGCTGCTGACTTTGTCTCCAAGCCTTTAGGCCTGGCTACGCTACAATTTTACCTAGATCCTGTCCTAGATCACCAAATGGTGCCCCAGGTGAGGCTCATCTTTGACACCCTTTTAAACTTTTGAATTAATTTTTATTGTATTTGTAGTCCATTTCACAACTTTGGTACACGATTTGCATAAGTGATTTATCCCTGTTACGTAAGACCATAATTTTGTATGTTGGATTTATAAATCTTTATTCATGCCATATACAAGCACATTAAAAATTAGCTTTCTCTAGGCTTATAGAAGCTTTCTAAGAATAAGTGAAATTTACTAACATCAATGTTGGATGGACCACTATTAAATAGTGCTAACAGTAAGTGTCAGCCTTAAAGGATAAATATTTTCCCTTAGGAAAAAAACAAAAACTTAAACAACGAATGGCCTTGCAGCACCTCAGAGACTAACAAAATCTCGTAAGGTGCTACAGGACCATTTGTTCTTCAATTTTTTGCAGTTAGGGTATGTCTACACTGCATGGCTACCCTGCATCTACAGAAGCCACCCATCATTTAAAAATCTTTTTTAAATTAACAAGCATGCTATTTCGCCATTGCGGTAAACCTCACTGCACTCATAGCATGTTATTTTGAAAATTGGTGCTGTGTAGACAACCCCAAATTTCAAAATAAGCTATTTTGAAATTAGTTTCAAAATTTACATAGGGCAAATTGCGTATCATTTCGAGTTTAGGGTGCTGTGTACGTGCACACTTGCAGGCTACCACAGCTACCCCGCTGCGATTTTCCCGTTAGTCAATGAAAACAGTACCCCAAGCCTGGCAACACCCCATCACTCTTCATAGCATTAGTTGTAGTGCTGAGTCCATGCAACAAAAACCCTACCTAAATGAATTGCAAGGAGTTGGACTGGATGCCTGTATGTTCAGAGTTGTTGGTTTTTTCCCCCCAGAGTTAGTTAAGTATTTAGGAGTTAGTGTTAATGCAGCCACCGGCAAGAGTAGGGAGCCTCACTCAGACTAGTGTATGGAGACACCCTTTGTCCACGCGGCTGGGAGGGTGACGCCCCCTTTGGGTGTGTCTGCCAGCCCCGCCCTCTACCTGCGAGAGGAGACACTCCCCTGCTTCAGGCAGTGACACGGCGCTCCGGCAGGGGGCGCTGCCCGTCCTGGGCAGGGAGACGCCTCCCTGCCAAAGAACAAACCCTATTCCCCTCCGACATCCATTTTACGCATGCGCTTCAAGGAGCCGTCCTCCTCCCCTCCCCCCCCGGCCCTCTATTGCGCACGCGCTGGAACTGTCGCTCAAGCGTGTCCCTACTGCGCCTGTGCCAACCCGGTGCGAAGTACCACTAACTCTTCCCGCCCTGTCCGGACCGCGCATGCGCCTTGGCCCGGGGCTTCCCGTCGTGCCCTGGGCGCTATAAATTCTCGTGGCGCCGCCATTTTCGGTCTTTTCCCGCTGGGGAAGGTGAGTGCTGGGGTCGGGGGCGGCGTTAGTAAGAGGCGGGTGCCTTGGGGGGAGAAGCTGATGGTGGCTTTGTGGGGGG